TCAGGTCATTTACTCACAATGCTGTGGGTTGCCTCCTTCCAATAGCCTCTGGGCACTCTTCAGTGAGGGAGAGACAGACTCACAATATTACAGGACAGCTGAACACTTTCCCCTAACTTCCTCCTGGTACTGCTCAGTAAGCTCTCCAGGACCAGGCTTTGTGAATAGGCCCCCCCAACTTAATCTCCAGCTGGGACCTTGATGACTCCTGAATGACACCTCCAGCAACCTGCATCAGGGGAAGAGACCCTTCACAGGGGTGTCCTCTGGCTGGATTAGACCCAGGAACCCTCTCCCCCCCTCAGGCCTCAGTCTATTTATGGGCCCTACAGCCAACTACTGGACACATCTCCCTAGGGATTGGCTGGATACCCATAAATGTTCAGGCTGCCCCCTCTGTTATTCATCTCTCAATAATTCTAGAATCCTCTAGAATACAGGAGGAATCAATCAGATTAGCAGACTGTGAGATATTGAGAAGGCCAGAACAATCAACTCCTGCTCCACTGGCTACTGAGAAGCCAAACTAAATTTCCCTAACAACCTACACTAACTAGGAGGGTGCTACACATGGATCAACCTAAATTCACCACCAAACTACAGCTCATCGTTTACTACATGAACCCTCCTGATGTATGGTAAATAATGCACCCTAGGTTTTGTTCCCAGAATTGTCTGAAGCACATAACATTGCAAGTGGCTGTCCATAAAGCTTCTCTGAAGGGGTTGAGTAGGATGGGTTGATGCTTTGGCCAAGAGGTATGTAGTGGGCAGGAGGAGAAAGATAAACTCTTAATCAGTGTGAATGCTCCATTGTTTGTTGGATCTTGCATTGATCAAGTAATGAGAAGGAACTGAGTGTTGCTGAATGCTAAACCTTTGATTGTTATATTAGTGTAACTCTCGTGCCAGGGGAATGTCCCAGTGGCTCTGTTTTTACTTTCTTTTCCAACAAAGTCAATAAAAAGAATTTAAAAAAAAAACCTCTCCATTAAAGAGAAAAATGGGAATGATATGGTAAATGATGTAGGGAGCCCACACATGCTCAGATTGGCTGCAATACGTGAGCAGTGAAGGGGTGCCACATTGAGTACATCTGAATATTTAAAGTTTTACATGATGTTAGAAAATCATTCCCACAAAATCTGCTGCCTTACTACTAATTTGTTACATTAGGTACAAAAAACTGCCAGCCATGACATAAATACTCTATGTAGCAAATGCAGGAAATTTAGGATTTAATCGGCAAGGTTATTAGTGTGTTGCCATAGCCACTTGAAGCCTTAACCAGGGGAGCAGGTGACAGGGTGACAATGTATGAACAAAATTTGGAGACAGTTGTTGCCCCATAGTAGGAAGTGCCTCAACAAGGACCTTTGTGGTAGGGTCATTATGTGTTTTTCTTTTATAACAGATTTAAAAAAATAAAATAAAAACCTTTGTTAAAAACCTTTACTGTACTTTAACACTTTTAATTTTCTTGTAAATGCCAAAAGGACAACCTAACAGATAAATAGTAAAAGTTTACAGGGAGAAAAGACCTTTCAGTAGCCAATGTTTTTTTTAAGCGTCCAACCATCCACAGCATATATGAATTGGAACTTTTAGAACCTGTCAAATATCTAGCCTTTCCACAAAAACAAAGCTCATAAATATACATTAATATTTTTTTGCATAAAAATATTTTAAACTTCAGTGTATATTTGCCATACTTCCATGGTGACATACATTATTTTAATTTGCTCTGTATTTTTATAACCATAGACATTTGCCTTTTTTTTTTATTTTAAGTGTTACTCGGCTGTTCAAAGATGTCCAGAAAGCTTTTCATTTTGACTACAATTATTCTGTTGTCTTCTGGGAGTCCAATGCAAAGATGATGTCCTGTGTGTTGAAGGCAAGCAGCCTGAATATTAATTAATGAATATTCCTTAATATGCAGAGAAGATGACAATCAACAATCGTTCCTGAGCCCCTACATATTAATTGGCATATCATTGTTATTCCGCCAGGAAATAGGAGGCCAAATGTGGGTTATAATGCGTTTGGAAAATCTCTTTTAATTAAAAAACATGAAAGTTTAAGTCGCGGGTCCTCAATAGCTTATAATTTCTCTAAGAGATACAGTTAACGTCTTTGGTGGTAGGGCAAAGGTGACAGATATGACGGGCGACCGCCCTGCTAGGGGTGGGATATGCTGTGCAAATTGTCTTTTGTAAGCCAAATATCAGGGCCTGCTATTTATTACTCTGATAATAACCACTAATCAGACTTTTTTTCCCTACTTTTCACAATGCTTTCCGAACATTGAAGATAAAATTAAGTGAATAGAAGGCTAACCTTTAAATGTCTCTTTTTAGATGCACTATAGGGCCCAACATGTGTGAACACCTAACTATATGGCCAGAAGTATGTGAAAATCAGTCCGTTTTTGAGTTCAGGTATTTCCACTGGAGAATACTATTAATGCTACATGATACAAAAGCATTTTAACCAACTGTGTGCTTCCAACCTTGCAGTTACAGTTTGGGGAAGGCCCTTTTCTGTTCCAGCATGACTGGGTCCCTGTGCACAAGGCCAGCTTCATAAAGACATGATTTGTTGAGTTTGGTGTGCAGGAACTCAAGTGGCCTAGACACAGCCCTGACCTCAACCCTACTGAACACCTTTAAGATGAAGTAGAACGCCAAATATGAGCCAGATCTTCTTCTTCAATAACAGTACCTGACCTCACAAATGTTCTTTTGGCTAGATGGGCACTAATTGCCAGACACAATCCAAACTCTTGTGGAAAGTCTACCCATAAGAGTGGAGGCTGTTACAGCTACTAAGTTTGGGCTAGCTCCATAATATTGTCCATGATTTTGGAATAGGGTGTTCAACAGTATAAATGAAATGTTCTGATCTCCACACACTTTTAACCAGTTTATAATAGACGGAAAACTGTCCTCCTGTTTGCTGCAGTATTAATGCTGACCTTGCACAATTTTGGTGGAATAGAGCACTGAGGGTTTACAAGTCACCCACTCTTGGTCTGTACATCTATAACCAAACTGCTACCAGAGAAGTGTAAAAATATGCTCTAGTAGGTTCTTGGTGTAGCTGTTCCTGAAGGAGTCTATAAAGTTAGTTGTTTCTTTCCCACAACAGTGCAGCAACAGCCAAGCACACAGCAGCAATCCAATCTCTCTGGTTCAAATGTACAGTCTAGGGGTTTGACTTTTTCTGTTACATATATAGATAGTTGGTAAGGTTGAATAAAGACACTAGTCCATGCAGTCCTGTAATTTATTGCTGAATAAACTTGCAGAGGGTATGGGGTGGTAGGTGCTACTCCAGCAACACTGAATAGTAACAGAAGGAAACACTTCACTAAGCTAGGCTTCTCTGAACTGCCTTTGTACTAGGAGCAAAGAAGAATGGCCAGAATTGAGATCTTATTGGGGCTGTCTCAGCTAGAGCTACCACTGACACCTTCACCCAAAGGAAAACAGCACAGTCACTAGGATCCTGAGCTCAATTCAGTACTCACAATATCACAGGATAGCAGGATGCATCATTTAGGTATCCACTGGACACTCTTTAGTGAGGGAGAAGTTAATGCTCACAATGCCAAGGAACAGCTAGACCTTTTCCAACTTCCACTTGGCACTCCAGACCAGATTCTCACTCAACAAGGATTTTATAAGTAGGCCCCCTGGCTATGCCACAGCTGGGACCTTAATGAACCTGTCTAACGTCTTCTGTGTAAAAGCCATCAATGGGGGTACCAGAGGACCATTGATGACTTTTACACAGAAGAGGTTAGACAAGGAGGCAGGAGAAGAATAGGATTTGATGTGGTTACTTTATCTGGAAAACACAGAATTTTGGCAAGAATTGGAGCACATTTCATGGATATTCGTTTCTTATTCTGAGTTCTTCTGAGAGCTACTACTAAGAGAAGCTGAGTCTGGAGATCCACCATATGAGAGCTTACAGTTGGGAATCTACATGTCATTTGATCATCTTAGCGATATTTTACCACCCAGTATGAGGGTCAACACCTTCTGGTGAGTGGGAAATTTAATGTGACACCCTCCTATTCACATTTTCTGGACTTTCATGATACCCTATATAAGATTCACTATTATATGTGGTGTTGGGAAAGCACTATATACAGTATATATACTTATATTTCAGCTTTCATGTTTTTTTACGACACATATGTATATGTTGAAATCATATTGAGCAAGGGCCTGTCTGTTTATTGTTTTGGTATTTAGAGTGTGTATTCACAACTGCCTTTTGGCAAAACCTGTAGCTTCATCATAGTACAATAACCTATACAAGGTTTCAAAGGAGCCATGATATTGTTTTCTTGATTTATATCTGTCTAGAGGAGCAGAGCCCCTCAGGCTGGGTCAGAGCCCCTGCAGGACTAGACCCAGGCAGCTCCAGACCTCAGACTATTTATGTGCTCTTCAGCCAGCTACTGGGCACACCTCCCCAGGGATTGGCTGAAGCTCCATAAATATTCAGACTGCTCATTTGACTTTCCAGCCAACTATGATTCTAGAATCTTCTAGAATGCAGGGGGAAACAATCAAACCTGCATCCTGTAAAACTCAGAACAGCCCAAAACAATCAACAACTGCTCCACTGATTACAGAGTAGCCAAAAATAACTAAATTTGCCTAACATCCTAGCAGCCTAACTAGGTTGATGTTACATCGGTGTACAAACACAGATTTCCTATTAAAAGATTGGGTATTTAACTAGTTGTCGACCGCAGATAGCCGAATGACGGCTGCACTGCGTCCGGCCAGTTCTGGGTGGTCGTCATATGACGTCCCCCCAGAACGCGCTCTCCTGCGCGCCCCAGGGGGCGCGCACCCGGCGATCTCCGTGATCTCTGTGTCCTACGGACACAGCTGATCACGAGATGTGGTAAAAGGCCGATCATACCGGCCTTTTACCACATGATCAGCGGTGTCCAATGACACGCTGATCACAGGGAAATGCAAGTGCCGGTTCTCGGCTGCACTTTCCTCACGCTGTCAGATCGTGAGGAAAGTACTGCCGAGAACCGGCAGTTGTCAGAGCGAGGATCGGCACCGATCATCAGGGCCACTGATGATCAGTGCCCTGATGATCGGTGCCCAGCAGTGCCACCCACACGTTCCGCCCACCTGTGCCCAGCAGTGCGCCCACTAGCTCCGCCCACCTGTGCCCAGCAGTGCACCCACCTGTGCCCAGCAGTGCACCCACCTGTGCCACTCTGCAGTGTCACACACACACACCTGTGCCCAGAAGTGCCACCTACCTGTGCCCAGTAGTGCCACCCACCTGTGCCCACCAGTGCCACCCACCTGTGCCCACCAGTGCCCACCCACCAGTGCTGCCCACCAGTGCCCACCCACCAGTGCAGGCCACCAGTCAGTGCCCAGCGGTTGTGCCAGTCAGTGCCGCCAGTCAGTGCCGCCAGTCAGTGCCCAGCAGTGATGCCAGTCAGTGCCATCTATCAGTACCCATCATCAGTGTCACCTATCAGTGCCGCCTATCAGTGCTGCATATTAGTGACGCCTATCCGTGACACCTCATTAGTGCTGCCTATCAGTGCCGCCTATCCGTGCCACCTCATTAGTACTGCCTATCAGTGCCCTTTAGTGCTGCCTATCAGTGCCCATCAGTGCCGCCTATCAGTGCCCATCAGTGCTGCCTCATCAACGCACATCAGTGAAGGAGAAAAAATACCTGTTTGAAAAATTTTATAATAGAAACAAAGAAACTTTTTTTTTTTTTTCAAATTTTTTGCACTTTTTTAATTTATAGCGCAAAAAAGTAAAGCGCCCAGTGGCGTTTAAATACCACCAAAAGAAAGCTCTATTTGTGAGAAAAAAATGATCAAAATTTCATATGGGTACAATGTTGCATGACCGCGCAATTGTCAATCAAAGTGCGGCAGCGCTGAAAGCTGAAAATTGGCCTGGTAAGGAAGGGGGTATAAGTGCCTGGTAGGCAAGTGGTTAAAGAGAGAATAGCTTCATCTTATTTACTAACATTCGCTTTACAGGGGGAACAGCCTCTACTTTTTCAGTAAATCAACACCAAAACTGAGAGGACCAGTTTCCAGGAAAATCAGTTATGATTCCAAAAGGTAATTTATAAAACACAAACAAACTGTGAAAATGGTAGACAGTTTTGCTTAAAAATAGGAGATAAAACATTTTTAAGGTGATTTTAACCAATATGCATATCTACAGCTTCATTAAAAAAAAATTAAAGCAAACCTTGCGGTAAAAATGCAAGGTGCATTTAATATATAATAGGGTCCTCCCAATGGTGAATAAAAGCTTTAAGTCAAAACAAAACTATAGAAAAAAGTATTTAGATACATTTTCCTTACCCCTGGTTTCCGAACAATATGCCTAGGCCTTCCAGCTTCCAACCTGGGTGTTGAGTATTCCAGATCTGCACTGTTTTACAGCTTCTTCTAACAAGATTTTGGATGCCCAGCATTCTTCTGAGTCTTGCTGGAAGTAGCCTGCAACACCCCTTCAGTATGGAATTATTTATGATGTGGTTTGAGCCAAAAATCCCACCGATCTGGGCTTTATGGCAGAGCGGCTAGTAGGAAGCCTCTTGTCAGTGCAAAACATACGAAAGCCCACTTGGAGTTTGCAAAAAAGGTTGCCCCATGTGGGCTTTCATGTGGTTTGCACTGAACAGAGGCTTCTGTCTATCCATTTTGCCATAAAGCCCAGATCTGTTGCAGTGATGGATGTCGTACTGGAATTTTGTCCCACCTCCACACAGGATCTTTAGAGTTCAGAGTGATCATCAGGTTCTTGGTCATCTCTTTACTAAAGCACTTCTCCCCAGATTGTTTGGTTTGGCCAGGCACCCAGCTCTTGGAAGAGCCCTGGTTGTGCCAAACGTCTTCAATTTGAGAATTATGGAGGCCACTGTACTCCTGGGAACCTTCAGTGCAGCAGAAATGTTTTTGTAGTCTTCCCCATATCTGTGCCTTGCAATAATCCTGTCTCTGAACTCTGCAGGCAGTTTCTTTGATCTCATGGATTTTGTTCTGATTCAGTATGCATTGTCAGCTGTGAGGACTTTTATAGAGAGGTGTGTGCCTTTCCAAACCATGTCCAATCAATTTAATTTTCCACAAGTGGACTCCAATTAAAGCTGGCCATACATTATACAATTTTCTTGAGAATTTTGCTTTAGATTTACCAAAAACCAAATAATAATAATAATAACAATAATATGAGGTCAGCACTTTCAATTGTATCCGATTAGGCAAGCCCTTGCACTACATAGTTGAAGGTAAATTTAAAGGAAATTGGACAGAAAATTGTAAGAAAATTGTTTAGTGTATGGCCAGCCTAAGGTGTAGATACATCTCAGCAATGATCAAGAGAAACGGGAGGCACCTGAGCTAAATTTCAAGTTTTGCTGCAAAGGTCTGAATACCAATGCCAATGTGATATACTGTATCAGGGTTTTTTTTTTAATGTTAATAAATTCACAGTAATTTCAAAAATTGTGTTTTTTGCTTTGTCATTATGGGGTAAGGGGCAGAAAATTAACGAGGAAGTTGGGGTTGGACCAGGAACTGGGCTTTAAAAATAACTTTTCAGTAACTTTCAGTAAATACCTCTATGATTTATATTAAGTGCTATAATTGCTGGAATACTTCTTTAGGTGCAGATCTTAAAAGCATGACTGCAGCATGGTGCAAACTAAACTGGTGAGAGATTCCCCCCCCCTACACATTCTCTATTGTTTTATTTAAGCAGAGCCATTACTTAAATGGTTTTTTAGTATAAAATTAATTTGATAATCAGATTTTCTTTACTTGAATGCACCTAATAATTACAATAATGTAAGAAGATTCTAATAATTAGGATTCATACTCAGAAGATTCATTTTGTAATGGGTTGGAAGATAAGAAAGAATTTTTTTTTTTTCCATGTTTGCTAAGCAGAGTAAATATTTTGAGTGTGTTTGCACCAAGCTAATTACAATCCATAAATACAATTTAAATAATGCCTAGAGCAAAATGCAAGTAGTATAGTAAAATTTAAATAAATTAATGTCAATTGTTAACCATCCATTCGGAGGACTTGCAATCGACTTAATTGTGCAGACAAACTATGTAGGTTAGTAGAATTCCAAAAAATCCATTTGTCTCTGATCTTACTGTGCATATAACTGTTTGCTGCTAAAATGTTTTTTTTTTAATAATAATACTCAATATAATAATATATGTATATACATATTAATAACTTATTGTTATAAATATTACTATTAATAATAAATAATACATTTAGTGGAAATGTGGTTACCACAATACACATGGCAGCATTATTTCTGACTGCAGCAATGGATTCTTTACTGTAAGAGCTGGGAAAATATAGAATGGTCTTTAACAGTATTTGGTTGTCGCTGACTCTAAATTGATTAAAAGTAGAACTTTGATTTAATTTTTTTTTTTTTAATAAATTGCCAATTTTAGGGCAAATGGCTACATAGTTAAATAATGACACTGTTTATGTTATATGTTTAACCTGGTAAAAGGTCTGCTAATTTTGTACATCCGGTGTTGTGTTTTTTTCACATTTTTCCATACTCCTCAGCCAGACAGGTGAAATACACTTTCTAAGCTAGGAAGTAGCAGATTTTACCTGGAGTTATGTTTAATTAATATTAGATATACAATAATTACTCCATTCATTTCAATGCAGTCAGGATTTTTAAACTGTGTATATGCACAATCACAATAATGCCTGTCCGCAATTCCCTCCAGACAACTAGCTACAAAAATATTTAAAAATTTACCCATCAGCAAAAAAAATGTTTAAACCTGTTTTCATGCACATGCGTACACAGAGAGTAAGGCATCATAAAGATTAATGAGCACTCCATTTAATATAATTATTTAGGGTTTATAGAAAATGTACAGAATGAAAAAATATGGATTAGATTATCCATAAAATATAATGGCTCCTTGACCCTGCTGAAATATTTTTAAGTGCCACAGAAGAGGTGTCAGCATTTAAATAAAGCAGTTTGAAATTCAAAAAGTAGAGAAAAATTATTTTAATTATTATAGTTAATTAATCTCCTATTGGGATGGTTATGAAGTGTAATAAAATTATATCTATGTTTTACATTTAAAATAATTTTCCTGATATAGAAAAAAAACTACTTAAATTTTTACATTCAAACTTTACAATTTCTCCCCCCTGCAATAAATAAAATGACTAATATTATATCGAGTTATCTGTCTAATATATACTGTCTGTGTGTGTATGTGTGTGTGTATATATATATATATATATATATACGGTATATATGTATTATATGAGCAATACTTTTAATGCTCTGTTCATTTTAACTTTTTGCTTTAAATAAATGATGTTGTAAAATTGGTAAAGTTAGGTGTGTTTTGTAAAAATCAGTTTTAAAATCTGTGTTGACTAATGGTGTGTAAACTCAGCGCTGGGAATAATAGAGCACAGTGAAAAGTTCTGAGTATTGTGCATAGTCACATTTTCATTCTTCTAACAAAGATGTTTTTGTTTTTTTGTGTGGCATCAGTGAGGATTGCTTAATTATTGAAGGTTCCTCTAACTTAAATTAGACATCAAGGGTCATGTCAGAGACAAGTGCTTAAAGAGTACCAAAACCAATTAACACAATGTAATTTTCTGCAGCTCCCCAGACCTTAGATGCGGTGGCTGCATTTGTTTTCTTTAGTTTAGGCCAGGCTTATTTCCTTTATTTTTATCTGGTGATCCTGCCAGTATCATGATCTACATGTGCACAGGAGTGCATGCATTTGTGTCCGCACTTCACATGGTGTGCACACCCAGAGTCAGTATTGGCATTTAAGGGATGCTATAACTCAATAGCAGTGCTGATTGGTCTTCTGTGGGCTTCTTGCTTACTAACCTGTATTCTGCATGTGTTTCCTGTTAATGACTTGGTTTTGACCTAACTTGACCTGATTTTGAAATCTAAACTTTCCAACCAGTTTCTAACCTTGGTTTTGCTCCTGACCTTGATCTGTCTTTTGTTTTGGTAGTGCATTGCTCACTTGCTGCTGACCTTGGCTTGATCCGTGACTTGCTACTGCCTCCGATTCTGCTCCATACTCCTGCCAAGTTCCTGCTTACACTGCATTCAGATTCAGCTGTAGACTCCTATGTATGGCCCTGCTACCTATTTGCTAGCATCATCCGTGAACTATGGTATCCTAGACCCTCAGATGAGCCAGATTTCCTCTTTAACTTCTGCTAGTTCTCCTGCAACTTCTTGCCCGACACTCCTGTACACACATGCTACTGGATCATCCTGGTAGGCATTTCCAGTCTGGGGTTTTGC